GTGAGGGCCCCGACCACTGCCGCTCGACCTGACCGGAGAAAACCGTAGCAGGAAGCTAGCGAAGTCGTAGTATATATATCGTCAAATAGAATATATATATATATCGTCACAAACAGAACTGCCCGGTAAGCCGTAGGCAGAGAGAGAGAAGAGGACAACAAACGAGGGGCTGTGACAAACTGTTTCGTCAGAGTTTCACCGACTCATCATATATATATATATATATATAGAGAGAGAGAGAGAGAGAGAGAGGACAACAAACGAGAGGCTGTGACAAACTGTTTAGTCGGAGTTTATAAATTATTTAAGATTCAGAAACGAGGAACTCCATATACAAAACGGTCCATAGCTGGAGATTCAGAAAAACAAGGATGTCCAGACTCCTTATATCAAGGACAAACCGGTCCATGCTGCATCGAGATGTTTATAAAAAAGTTTAAAAACACAGAAAAATGAGAAAAGGAAAAACACAAATCAACGGTCCATAGCAGAAGAGTCAGAAACGAGCAAGTCTACACACAAATCAGTGGCTGGTCCTGCAGGAGATTCAGAAAAAACAAAGGAATCCAACTCCCTATATCACCGAGGCTACTCTTCCATGGTTCCAATCCGTGTGTGGACGGAGGAGGTCCGCGGATGATAAAAGTACAGACTGTACTCTAGCCCGGTAACGAGCCTGGAAATCAGAGCAGGATTGTGGTGGCCTGTGGGTAAAGCCCCATTGGAAAAGCAGTCGTGCTGGATGGGAGCAGAGTGAGCGAGAATGCCTCAGTGTGGTATTGTGTGTGTGTGGGTGTGAGTTGCAGGACACTAGAGCCATGGAGGGCTGGAGTGGATACCACGACCGGCATGGATCCACTTACGTCCACCGTGCCATGGCTGTAGTGGTTAAGAAAACTTGGCTCTTGGGGCTGAGGTCGCCGGTTCGAATCCGCGCGACTGTACTCTAGCCCGGTAACCAGTCTGGAAATCAGACCAGGATTGTGGATGCCTGTGGGTAAGGCCCCGATGGAAAATCAGTCGTGCTGGATGGGAGCAGAGTGAGCGAGAACTGCGTGTGTGGCGAATCCGTGAGAGGCCTGAGTGTGGTGTTGTGTGTGTGTGGGTGTGACTTTTAAGGACACTACAGCCATGCAGGGGTGGGTTGAGAACACAACCGGCATGGATCCACTTTTGTACACCTTGCGATGGCTGGAGTGGTTAAGAAACTCGGCTCTTGAGGCTGAGGTTGCTGGTTTGAATCCATGCATGCAGGGAGGAGGAGGTCCGAGGCTGATAAAAGTTCAGACTGTACTCTGGACCGGTAACCAGCCTGGAAATCAGACGAGGATTGTGGTGGCCTGTGGGTAAAGCCCCGTTGGATAAGCAGTCGTGCTGGGTGGGAGCAGAGTGAGCGAGAACTTCCTGTGTGGCGAACGCCTGAGTGTGGTGTTATGTGTGTGTGGGTGTGACGGAGTGTGGATACCGCACGCATTGCCAACTTCCATCTGTCTTACAAACACGGCTCAGTTGGTACACCCTTGCATACCGGAGTTGAGTTCTGAGGGGTGTACCAAACGAGTATTTCAGTCATCTGCTCTCAGTGGAGTTCGAACTCAGGTCGGTATTTCAACAATTCGGTTCAGGGGTGTGGCAACTGAGCTAGGGCAGTTGGCAAGACAGACGGAAGTTTTTTTTTTTTTTTTTTTTTTTTTTTTTGTTGGACAGACGGAAGTTGGCACTGCGTGCAGTCCTTTCTTTTGCCCTTTCTCTTTTGACAAAACTGAGAAAACTCATTTTTTGTGTTTTTTTTTTTTTTTTTTTTTTAAAGCTAAATTCTTCTCTCAAATTCACCGCACCAAATGGTCGCTTACTGAGGGTAACTGGCAGGTGTCTAGCTTCCAACCTCTACAACAGCCTGGACTTTTCTTTAAAAAAAAAAAAAAAAGAAAAAAAAAAAAAAGGTGCGTCTCTCCCTTAGAGGGGCCATGGGCATGCTAATCTTCTCTGTATCGTTCCATATTATCGTTATTATTATTATTATTATTTTGTGGGCTGCACTTCATTCCACTGCAGTGCAATAGGAAAGGCAACGCTGGAGGGGTCGAGTGGGCAATCCTACCCCTGTGACGCTGGAGGGGTAGAGTGGGATATCCTATCCCTGTGACCCCTCCGGAGCCGTGGAAAATTAATTTAATATCATGCAGCCCGATGGACCACGGATCAGATATTAAGCCACCACAACTTTGCCCATAAATATAGGCCGCAGGCGGCCGGGTGGCCATTGGTGAATCTCATCAATGGCATTTGTGGCATTTATTGGAAAGTCGCTGTAACAGTTGTAGCCACATAAATTAGTTTAATCATTTCAAATGTTAATGTTACATGGACCACAGATCAGATATTAAACCACAGAACTTGGCCCAGACATAGCCCGCAGGCCCCTCATGAACTGCGGCTCGGCTGGGCGGCCGTTGGTGCTCCTCAATTGCCTTTGTGCCAGTTTTGTGGCAATTACCGCAGCCAAGAGAGTCGTGGTGAGGGCGTGCGGCTGCGGCCTATGTATGGGTCAAACTGATCAAGTACTGGTGGTTTAAACTGATCAGAAGATTCAGAACAGATACTGCACTTGATCTTAGCCAAAAGGCCAAGAAAGGTATATATGACGGTATTAGGACCGTCTATCGTTTTAATTTTAATGGATGTTTCGCAGTATGTTCCAATTTTAGCAGCAGCCTGCCGCACTGTGGTGACTCCAGAGTTCAGGTCTGCTTCTGCCATGCTGAGGGTCCCTTCTGGCAAAAAATAGATTGGATTAAGCTCCTGAATCTGAATGTGTTTTGTGCACGGATGCAGAATAAGAAGTTCTATGTCTGACTCAACTGTCTGCACCTCTTCAGGATTCAATCCAATCCTCTTTGCTAGTGGGACCCGCGAAGAGGACTGGATCAAGGTCCTGAGACTGGATTTAAAAATAAAAAAAAATTATTTCGATCCCGGTATCTGCCGAGTGAGAGTCCTGGACTGTAACCTACTGGGCTAGCTCCTACCACCTGAGTCTGGATTTGTTTTGTGCAGAGATGCAGAAAAAGAAGTTCACAGTCAACTTTCTGCACCTCTCCACAAACACACCCAGATTCAGGCATTGAATCCAATTCTCTTTGCTACTAGGACCCCACTCCTGGCAATCCCGGTGGGCCAGCGTCATCTCCTTTTTCTTTTCTTTTCTTTGTTTCTTTTTTTCTATTTTTTGTAAGGCTAATTCTTTTAAGCCCAACCAATTCAGTCACCTGTAGAATCTCACAGGGAGGCGTTTCAGGCCCTTTTTATTATCATTATAGTATTACGGGGAACCCCATAGCAGTCAGCCAGTGTTCAAGTCTAATGAGGGTACATGGAGGGGGCTGCACCCAACCTGCAGGTGGGCAATACCAGCCAGGGGCCATCCGGTAGCCTCAGGACCGTGCTTCTTCGATGGGCCACTCACTCCCCCTCTCTGGTTGCACTCCCCCCCCCTCCCCTCCCTTCCCCTCCCCCGACGAACATCAGCAGTCTTTGCTCAGTGCAGATGGGGGAACCAAGGGGCTATCTCTATGTGGTAGGCGCCAAGCCTGCCAAGGGAGGTGCATGAGGCCAAATTGAATGGGGATTGAACTCATTTTGACCTCCTGAATGCCACTTCAAGTGGCATGCCTTACAAACCGAGCTAGTTTCCTGGATCATTGTTGTTCTTTGAACTCCACCCACGAAGCATAAATTTACACGAATTGAAGTTAATAAACATTTCTCTTCCTTGTCAAAAAAAAATAAAAAATAAAAAATAAAATAAAAAATAAAAAATTACACGAAGCATAAATTTAAGAGGTATGCATGCACTCCACCCACTTAGTTCTTTTTCTGCATCTCTGCACAAAAAGAACTGAGTGGGTGGCTTTAACAGTTTAACTCCTCACTCCTTGAAAGGTAGAAGGGAGGCACCCGCGCGTGTCTGTGTGCCACTGGTTGAAAATAAGAATTTGAAAGGAAAAAAAAAGGGAAAGGAAAGAGCTTTTCGATTCCTAATCGGCCTGCCAGTGGGCCAGTGGTGAATGCGGCAGGCTGCAGCCACTTTCAAAAAGGCGAAGTCTCTCTGAGTCAGGCTGATTAGCCTTGGAAGGTAGCTTCATCAACTTAGGCTCGTTTGAACTTATGGCTTATGGCTTAAAGCAATTATTGCAAGCTTGGGGCCAGGAACTAAGTGGCTATGCATGCTAAATAGATGAAGATGCACAGGCCCCCGGGCAAGGTCCCACTATTAAAGCGGATTGAATCGAATGCTTGAATCGAGATGTGTTTATGCATCTCTGCAGACGAAAAAAAAGCTTCTCAATTGCCATTTTCTGCTTCCGTATCGCGTCCAAGTTCAGGCATTAAATCCGATCCTCTATGCTGGTGGTGGTGGGACCCCGCCCCCGTTCATTGTATCGGTATCTCGCCGGAACGTATACAGTGATCGCGTGTTGTGTTAGGCATAGCAAGATAAGGCAGAGGTAGATGGTATCCAACAGGGAGGAAGAATGTTTTATGAGTAAGCATTTCATTTCATTTCACTGTTGTTCACTTTCTGTCTGCGCACAAAAGCATCTGAAATACATCCTAGTAGTCGTGTTGCACAGCTTGCCAATGGACGTTGACGTCCTATTTTATTCAGAGCTTCATACTACCGGTAGTGTATCATTACTTTGTACACGTCGTGTTCCAGAGATCACTATTAGTCCTGGCTACCTTTTCGATCTTCCTCTTCTTCTCCTTTCTTCTTCGTTCTTCTTCCTTCTTCTCATGATTCTCTCTCTTTTTTTTCTCTTCCTCCTCCCCCCCCCCCCCCCCCCTTCCTCTTCCTCTTCCTCTTCCTCCTCCCTCTTCTCGTCCTGTTTTCTCCTTTCTCCCTCTTCCCTCTCTCCTTGATTGTGTGTGATCTGATTGCGTGCGTGCCTGTGGTTTTCTTTAGGTTTCGCACTCGTCATAATAATGCTTTCAGGTGATTGCCGAACTAGCTTGTATTGTTGTTGTTGTTGTTGTTGTTGTTGTTGTTGTTTTTTGACTAGCTTGTATTGTGACAGTCTCATTAGGATGATTTTTTTTTTTTTTTTTTTTTTTTTTGAGACAGTAGGATGCTTTCAGGCGATTGCCGAACTACGGTAGCTTGTGTTGTGACTGTTGTCACTCGACACCTCCCCCAGAAAATGGACAGGTTCACGGGTTCGCTATGAATAGTAACGAGTGTATTTTGCCACCCTTCGTAGGCAGATGCACTCCTTTCATTTTCGATTCGTGTACCGTGCGGCCAGGCCCTTTGCGCCCGGAGGCTCACAAAAACGTTTTCCTTCGGCCTGGATCCCCTGAACCTGAGTAGCTTGCCACCTTCCCTCAACATGACACAAACTTCACAAAGGGGGTCGCCACACGGCAGACGAAACGAAAACCAAACGAGTGCACCTGCCCAGGAAAAGTGGCAAAATACACTTCTTATTTATAGCAAAACGCTGAACCTGGCCATACTGTCGGGGAGAAGCACTCGTTTTCGATTTTGGTTCCTCTGTGCCGTGTGGCTACGCCAACAAACTTGAATGGCATGGCCAAAAAAAAAAAAAAAAAAAAAAAATCCAAAGACAGCACGAGGGCGTCTTCATGCAGAATCTGGAAAGGTTTATCCGTTACTATCAATAGCCACATTCTGTTGGCAGACGCACTCGATCTTTATCCGTTTCGTGTGCCGCGTGCGGGAAGGCCCTAAGCCCTACCACCTTTCCCCGCAGGCGAGAGAGAGAGGTTCAAAAATGGTATGTTCATCCCTTCCACTCAGCTTCGGCTGGTGTCATAACGACATATAGGCCCTCGCGGGCGTCGCCACACCACTTTGTCGAAACGAAAAAAGAACAAGCCTGCGGGCTTCGCTCAGTTGGTAGCCTAAAGGCACATAAGTTGCATTCAGGAGGTCGTGGGTTCAATCCCCACTGCCCTCACGTACATGCCTGGGCGAGCTTGGTGTTCTACCAGCTACAGATAATTCGTTGGCTGTCCAAGCCAGAATTGGCAGCCAATGGCAGGACCTTGGCCAAATATTGTTGGCTGCTATGTAGCCAATTAGGTAGGGGGAGGTGCAAGTGACTGGCCAAAGATGCTCGGCACTAGCATCGCCGGTTTCCCCGTCGGCAATGCCTGATCACCCTGCATCATCGTGACGAGGGGCTGATACAAGCCTTACTCTCGCACCACTGCTGTGGTGCAAACCTACCCCGTGGGCTGGGGAGAGTTCCAGGTTTGGTTGGTGTTCCCCCCTACTATACATAGAGTAGCAAGAGGATGAGATAGAATATATGCAAAGGAAGATTGAGAGAAGAATAGAGATTACTTTAATAAATAAATAAAAAGAACAAGTGCATCTTCACGCAAAGAGTGGCAAAATGCATCCATTACTATAATTTAAAATAGCAAAGGATGCATCTTACCTCTTTCTTTCTGCGGAAGATGCATTCGGTCTTTTCTCGCTTCGACAGTGGTGTGGCGAGGCCCACAGACCCGAAAGGGCCTCACCACACTACTCACGGAAGGCAAGAAGAACGGCACCTGCATAGTTCCACAGAAGCTGGCAAGATACATATGTTAGTGCGAGTAGCTAACTTGAACGTATTTGGCCACCTTCTGGAGAAAGATGCACGTGCATTTGTGTCGTTTGATGACTATAGCGAGACCCAAATCCGATAGATGCATGTGGCAAATAACGACAGGAATTGAAACCGTGTTCTAGAGTTTACCAAATGACATTCTGAATTGTTTAGCTATTGTTAGGCTACGTTCATTTCTTGACGTCTGCATGGCCAAAATTAGATTCCAACTCTCGAATTTCGAAGTGCTTTCTTTGTTACGTTTGCCATTTTCACCACCCCAAGTTCCTTCAATACATCTCTTAATGATAAAACCCATGTCTTTCAGCCACTGCAGGAGAAATGCCGTAATCAAACGCACACCCATGCCGTAGCTGCATATCACCTGAAATAGGTTTCATTCAGTCAGAGTGGCAGAGAGTGCCCATGCCTTCCGCCATCATAGCGCCATGCACTTGGACATCCCCTCGGATGCCCATAGAGCAAACACACACACACACACACACACACACACACACACACANACACACACACACACACGCAGAGAGAGAGAGAGAGAGAGAGAGAGAGAGAGAGAGAGAGAGAGAGAGAGAGAGAGAGAGAGAGAGAGAGAGAGAGGGCCTGTCACACCTTTGCGAGGAAGCATGGATGGTCGACGAAAACTCGATCAACTCCCCTTTTATGACAGTGAAAGAACCTCACAGTCTCCACCTGATCTCCCATCTTCACCTGCACGAAAACAGACGTCCAGTGGCATTAACCAAAAAGGAAAAAAGTGAGACGTCAGCAAGCTCTTTCTGCTGTTGTTGAAGCGGCAATTCCCAATTTCCCAAAATACCATTTTTGGTTCTGATTTGACCCTCATTCCACAATTCGACTTTCTGAAAGTTTCTGCACGATTTCCTTTCTCTTGGTGATCATTTTTGGCTGACATAAACTGACGTCGGTCACAAAGAGCACTTTACGACTTACACGCACGCGTGTCCACTGTCCATTACCGTAATCGTACGGAAGACCAAGCGTACTTTTTTTTTTTTTTTTTTTTTTAACGTACTTATAATAATTACTTTCTTGCCCGCCGACAAGCAAATTAATGCAACGAAGTGAGCTGTCAGCTGTCGATCAAAACTAAGTGGGAAAAAAAAAAAAAAAAAAAAAACATCTTTGAAAACAATTCCACCAGGAAAAAAAAAAAAAAACTCTTTCAACAAAAAAAAAACGATCTTCGAAACAATTTGCACCAGGAAAAAAAAAAAAAAAAAACTAATTCAAATTTTGAAAGCTGAAGAAGCCAGGCCGAAATTGGACCAAAGCGGCGCAGCCACCGAGCTGCTGGCTCTAGTATGGAAAGACCTGCAGGCGGCGAGGCGCAGCCTGTAAGCTAAGCTGGATGATGGTTCCAGATACGACCCGGTGTGTATTGTCGAGGTCCCCCGCCTCCCCTTCGATTCAGTAATGGATTTTTTTTTTTTTTTGAATTTTGTGAGGCAAAAAAACAAATAAGATTGGACCAAAGCCAGCCGGATAACTTCACGGACACATACAAGGTCGAACACCAAATCATCAAGACAAAATTCAGTGACGTCAACGATTTTTCAAAGCTCGAACACCAAATCATCACTGCAAGGCACTTCGGGGCAGATCAAACTTTGAGAGATTTGGGTCGACCAAAGCGGGCACCAAACAACGACCCAAAAGGGAAAAAAAAAAAAAAAAAAAAGTCAGTACTTTGGGACATCCGTTAAAATTGGAACGATACACAGAAGATTAGCATGGCCAGATGACACACCTAAATCGAGAAATGGTCCAAAAAAAGGAAAAAAAAAATAAAAAATTGTACCATTTCTCGATGAGTGCGAATGGCCTGACTCAGTGAATGCAGGGAGCATACTCTGCAGCTTTGCTTTCTGAATCGTTTGAACCTTGATTATTCTGAGTCCTGCAGAACAGTTACTTCGTTCATCTAAATATGAGACTCCTCCTCTCATTTTGCTCATTCCCTTTGCTCACACCGTGTTCCATGGGAGGGAGCTTCCCTCAGGTACCACGGCGCCATAAAACAGTAACAGGCCCGATTTTTATTTTTTTATTTTTTTTTTGGTCGTTTTTTTGTTGTTCTTCCCGATTTTTTTGTTTTTTCGTTTGTTCATTTGTTTGTTGTCGTTGTTGTTTTATTGTTGTTGTTCCTGTTGTTATTGTTTTGTTTGTCGATGAGAGCGGTGATTTCATTTCATCCCGTTCCAGTGAACGGCGTTCATTTCCTTAATCGGAACCAAAGAAGGACTCCAGTCTCTGATCTTGTATGCAGTGGCTGATGAGACACGGTTCTTTATTACACTCAACACAACCAAAAAGAAGAACAAAAGAAAACGACGACTCACTAGATGACGGCAGTTTTAATTCACGTTTCTTTCCCAAGAAGACAGCAGGCATCGTTCAAAACCGGCCCAAATCTCAAAAAAAAAAAAAAAAAAAAGGGCCCAAATCTAGATCATCCTCTGGAATCACATAACTATCAAAAGCAAGTGATTGTTCATCAAAAAGTATTATAATAATATAATCTAAATAGTTGCCCGTTTTCAACTCAGGCCCTCTGCACACCACGGCCCGCCCCCGTGTAGTTCCGATATCGTTTTTTTTTTATTATTTTATTATTTTTTATTTTAATGTCGGGGCTTTTGAAAGTGCCGTGCGGCATTTTTGTGGTCTTCTCAAAGAGTTGACGCGTGAGTGAAGTTCCCTCCTCCTCCGGTACGTCTTTTTGTTCTTATCCGGAGCTCACTTTCGTTCGCCCTTCGCCGCGTAGTTTGCTCAAAAAAAAAAAGAAAAAAGGAAGGTATTGATTCGTACTACCGGTAGATAGTAGGTAGGGAGTCCACTCTGGATGAAGGATGTTTTCCGTTGTGTCACTGAGTGAAGGCTGTTTTCCAACCAACCGGTGGTTTCGATAAGGAACTTACCTCCGCAGTGACTTCGGTGTCCCAGGCGTCCTTGTACTGATCATAGCGAGGAGAAACGGTCATCACTCGATGGCCACGGGCCTGCAGTGCACAAACAATGCGGCCATAGAGATTGACACAGACAAGACACACACAAGCGTACATAAAACAATTATGGCAAAAAGCTTTCAGTCCGCTCCGCTGCCGCACATCAATTGCAAAAAAAAAAAAAAAAAAAA